ATTTCGGGGGAGGGGGGGTATTAATTTTGGTGTCAGAAAAAATTGAATTCAAAAATATAATGCTAAGTTCATTACAGGCGCTTAATCAAGATAAAATCTTTGAATCTTGTGTGACAGAAATTAAAGCAGGCAAAAAAAAAATTTAGTGTCAAGAAGAAGAAGAACTTCAATCGGTTCCTAGAAAGGTGCACATGAGGTACAGTTACTCCTAAAACTTAAATTGCCATAAAAACAAATGCGCCTGGAGGAAAAATCTGTGGTGTCGGTGCCCACCAATGGAGGGTTAACAAAAGCTTGATTTGAACAGAACTTTCATACATTTTTTATGAAATGGTGACCATACGAAGGTAGATATTTTAAGCCATATGAATGGAGATGAGTGTAGGATGAGTGTAGGATGAGTGGCACGATCTTGTAGTCTTGTTACTAACTAAGGCTGACAGGTTCCTTAGAGAGCTGTTAATTAATGACCCATACATCCCATGGCAACTAAGGGATGGAACACTCTAGAAAAGTGTTTCTCAACCACTTTTTTATATAAACATTTTTTTTTTAGATTTAACACAGTTTTAAAAAGATTTTCAAAAACACACTGAAGTTGCATATTGTTGAACAAATGTCTGTAATAGGAAGTAATTGAGGTATAGTAAAGGATGGAGAGTAAAATTTATAGCTCTCAAAGCAGAACTACGGGTGGCAGTGCAACATTGTCACAGAAAGACAGCAAGGACTGCAGAAAGACCAGCCTGACCACAAAAGAAATTAAATAATAAGCCCGCAGAAATTTTTGGATTTTCCCAAGTCAGTTGCAGTAAGTTGAAAAACTTTCTGTATGATAGTTCAATAAATTACAGTTATGACACCTCATATTTTAGAAATAGACCACTGAACATAACCAAAATTGCTTTAAACTTTTACAAACAATTTAAAAGTAAGTCCACAAAACTTTGTCTTAGCAAAACCGACAAGAAACAATACATACCAACGACATGTAGTCCATCGGAGCGTTGGCAGACTATTTGTCCGTTAGGAGCAATTGTCCATGAGAATGTGAGGCAAGGTCCGAGGTCGCAGGTTCGAGTTTCCCACAATGCCTCGGGACAAGGCTCCCCTCCGTTGGACTGCGGTGGCCTCAGAACTGCTCTGGATCTGGTAGCATAGCCTAGAAAGTAAGAGATCCCCTTAGAGTATATATTTTTAAAAATTGTAAACAAAATTGAAACTCGTCCCAATCTTTAAAAATAATTATTTAGCTCAATAATGGAAACATTTTATTTGCTTCCGTAAGAAAAGTTCTTAGGCTGGTGGGAGTTTGGATAGAGCTTGTAAAGGAAGAATTTTTTTTGAAAATTAAAAAAAAATTAGGAAAAAAGTGAGTTAATGGTGATCAGAAAGAATCGGAAGATGAAGCAACCAAAGTTTGATCGGAAAAAAGAAGACGCCAAATTTGGAGGAGCAGTTTAAAACTTTGCTAAAGGTGAAGTAGGAGAGCACAGCTAGATTGGGAAAAGGTGCAGGGCTTTATCAAACAGTGAAGCACTTAATGATACTGAGATCCAATGGAAAAATGTTCAATGTATAACAAAAGGTCAATATTTACTTACAGTAGACTCCCTCCTATCCGGACACCTTTTAACCGGACATCGGTTTAACAGGACTACACTCGGCAGGAATTACATCTCTTTAACCGGACAATTTTTATCAGCACATCGGTTTAACCAGACTAGATTGGCAGGAAGTGGGCGGTACTGCGACAACTGTTCTCGTGGGAAAGATTTAGCCATTTCAATGAAAAGTATTAAAGTATAAGTATTTGAGACCAGTAATCACGTGTCTAAATACAATGCTTTCCTAAATTTAGGTCAAATACTGTATACAGTATGGATTTAAACGGTCCGTTTTAACTAGTTTTTGGGGATGTCGGTTAAGCGGAAAACCCATTATCTGCACTGGCCTTGGTCCCGAGGAGTCCGGATAAGAGGGAGTCTACTGTATGAGGAAAACTATAGAATGTGTCCTGTTATTATGATGTACTGACGTGTATTCAATAGATAAATAAATCTACACGAATGTGTTTGAAACAAAATACAAGTTGGGAAGTGAAATTTATAGGGATAAGAGTAAAATTAATGTGGTTTAGAGATAGGAATGAAGAGATCAGAAAAGGAGTAATTGATGCCTGCTTAAGAGAAAGTAAGTAGAAAAAGCAGAAACAAAATAAGTTGGGCTTGTGGGAAGAATAAGAAACAATAGGATTCATAGAGAAGAGGAGTTTGTGGTGATAGAGCGAATGAGACTAAGAAAATGACCGAGAAGAAAGTGGATTTATGATGAGAAAAAAACGTGGATAAGAGAGGATTGAGGAAGAGGGTATAGGAGCACAGACATTAGAACGGATCAGGAATAAAACTGAGATCCAAAACTGGTGAATAGAAGTGTAGGTGATTAAAACAGCAACAAATATTGTTAAAGAATTATGGATACAGTAACATGTTTGTCTTAATGTATTGATCATTTTCATCACCTGTCGTATCCTTGAGGCAGTCGCCATGACAGTGTGACCAATGTGACCATTCGCTGAGTTGACAATCACTGTCACACGGGATGTGACACGTCTCCCACGACACTGGCTTGTGATTGGCCGAGCCAGCACAGTGCCATGCCTCCACAGAGCTGTTGTCACCTCCTCGGACACATGTCACATTACGGTTTCTCACACCATGGCCGCACATTGCTCCCTAAATTAAAAATGAAATAAATAAAATTAAATTGTATGAATAATTAATTTTATGCTAAAGTACAAGTGTAGAGTAGGAAATTATACAGTTGTTTGTTAAATAAATACTAGTATATTTCTTTCTCTTTCAAAAATATATTTTTTACCCAAGATTTAGAATTTCTTCTTGGAACGTCAAATCAAATCAAAGTATACTTTATTTCCAAAATACCCCCTCTGTAGCAAACCTACCGTCCAATCGAATTACCATTTGCCTGAATTGATTTTCAATTCAATTTTTTTTATAACATTAGGTTTAATGAGTACCTAGGATTGCTGCTACAGGGAAAAAAGTGTGTTTTTTAGTAAAATATTTATAGCTTAGTATGAATATAAAATATATAAATTTGCCAAGTTTGATCAAAATATATCCATAAACAAGCAAACTACAACATTTTAAATATTTTCCATAATAATAACATAGGAATTTTACTGTCGGGTCAAAAAGTATAGATACTTGAGTTTGAGTTTTTATTGCAATGTAACAAGTAGACGTAGAAAAATGCAAGTTACATCATAATTTTACGAATTTATTCCTGCGTTTATATGTGTGTTGGTTTTACATTTTTTATGCAGTTTCAACTCATCCTTTCAGCGGGTTGAATGAAAAAAGTACAGATTCTTTGGCGCTTTACCAAAAATGGGCGACTTTAACATTTTATAAAAAAAAACTACTGATCTAATCGTCATGACATTTTAATAGCTTTTAGAACATATACTTATAAAGCATATTTAGAATTTTTAGAATTTTTCGTCAATAAAAAAAAAACTCTCTTATGGTTTTTGTAAAGGCATTTTATTTCAGCGCCGGACAAGTTAGAAACAACAACGAAAGCTTACATTAAAGCTCTTAAAAAGATAAAAATGAAAATAAGTTACACATTAGCTAAGTGGTCTTTAATAATTATAATGGACGTATAATAAAAGCTGTTATGAAATGAAATAGTGCGTGAAATTTGTACCGATATCGATCCACAGGCAGGGAGTTCTCCCCGCCCAGGACCGGTTTTGGCAGCACTAATATTCCATTTTTACAGTCAGGCTATTGTTAATTTGCAATACTTTCTCTAGTTAACAAAGTTACTTTACTTTACACTTCTATTAAAATACCTAACGTAATCCATAATATTCTAAAATTTGACTGGGTCCTGATCCTAAATTGTTTTAAATATATTACATAAAACTTCTGTGATAAAACCGATGCCCATGAGGCTCAACTACAGATATATTTAACTCACATGAAGTTGACACTCAGACCAGGGTCCAGTTTGCCAAGAGTAGCAAGGTACGGCTGGGCAAGGCTTCCACTGTACCAAGGGTGACGGACAAGGGCGACCAGACGACGAAGGGTTGGTGGAGATGAAAGCATGACGACTCACACCTGTCAATAGACAGACAATCTCTACTAATATAAGAGGAAAATAAAAATAATGTGATACCTATCTGTTGATTTTTTGTTGGATCGGTTCCTTTACTTGAAACATTCAAGCTTGGAAGCCAAAGACACGATACATCTTTCCCATTACAGTATGTCAATTTGCTTGATTACTATTTTGTAAAACTGACTGAAAATGATAGCTATCTGGTAGTGTCTTTCACTAATAACACAGACATTGGTGTTTAAAATTCGGTTGTGCACTCTATCTTATCACCGGGGTCAGTACTGTATATACTAATCTATTTGACTAATAGTGAATTCGTACCTAATTACCTTTAGATCCCCATATGATTACCAGAATTGTTTGATGACAGTTGTGGTAAAAAATTTAAACATTTAAACAAAACTACTCTTACCAAACATCGAATCATTTAAAACTGTAACATTTTATTCAATTACAGTGCAATTTAAATAAATTTAAATAATAAGTCCTAAGGACTAAGACAAATTTAAATAAAATAAGCTTGGTAACAAACTGCTCCATCCCCAAGATGGACCTATTTTATTACAATCATCAGGGTACATGTCCTTAAAATCTAATTGTTTAAATATGATTTATGAGTTTCAAAGTCACCGACCTGTCTCTCCGCATTGACACTGGGTGGCATTCCACTCACTCCACTCCGCCACGTGGCAGTCCACTGGACAGTCTACGTAACACCACTTCTCTGCCGGGGTCGGCTTGGTCTCCTCACTGCACCAGCTACATTTCAAAACCAAATTAGTATCAATTTGAAAGTGAAAGTGATAAAAACACACTTAAGAAAATCATACTCAGCTTACTACACTGCAATAAATGTCATGGAATAAATTGTATTGAACCAACCATTTTTTGACGTATAGTAATGAAATGAAAAATGTCTTTGATAGGAAAAGTTAGGACTTGCAAGTCCTCTCTATACCACTTAACCAAAGTTCATCAAATCTAAGTTGTGGTGCAGTGGGTAAGTTGATTTTAGTCATTAGTTTAGGTGGCCAACAATCATTGCTTGAATTTTGTCAATGTTGAGTTTAAGTCTGTTGTTTGTGGCCCAGTGAGTTATTGATTCAATGTCAAAGTTCATGAGTCGCACAGCAGTATCCAACTCTACATTGAAGTGGGAGTAAATTGTCAGCATACAGATGGTAGTGTGAGTTAGTGATATGATCTGTGATTTCATTGATGTAAATTCAGAACAAAAACACCAAAAACAGATCCTAGAGGAACACCTCTAGTTATCTGCTTCCATGTGGACCAGATATTATACTGTTCTCCAATGATATGTCAATGTCAATGAAGAATATTGTCCGTCCTCACCTGTCCTCCACAGGCCTAGAGTCACTCCTCTGACAGTAGATGGCTCTGGTTGTCATCCCCTCACCACAGGGGCTGCCACCCAGGGGTAGACAGGAGCTGAAGTTGGTCACCACCCAATGGTAGGTGAAACAGGTGATGTTCAGTTGGCAAGCCTGAGTCTGTATTGTATGCTGACAGGTAGCTCCCCTGGTGGCGGCAGCACGTAGCAGGGAGCGTGTCCGTTGCTGCTGTCCGTTACCCACACAACCCTGGAGACATTGAAAATACAAAATGTTTCAAAAGTTGTATGTTTTAAGTTTCCTTTTGGCAGTGGCGGATTATGACCTCAGCGGCCCCTACGCACATGTAAGCTTGGGCCCCCCCCCTCATGGGCATCATTTCTGATTTTCAACCGGTGGCATGATCTCTTGTGACTTCCCAGAAAACTCTAAACCCTACTCCTACCCAGGGTTTGCAACAATACAACAACATCAAAGGTTTCCCTTTGAGCATACAACACATTATAGAAAAGCTGTTGGATTACCTTAGGACATGAGCTCCACTCCGACCAAGCGCTGAGAACACAGTCGCCTGGACAGGCTACATGGCAAGCGTTGATGTCCACTGGCTGTGTTGTCCAATCACAGTACTCGTCATCCACAGGTGTGTCTGTCCGAGTGTCAATACACCTGTCAAAGGACATAATGTTGAGAATAGCCAAGCATATTGAAATGAGAAGACCAGGACTACTCGTCAATATTACAAGTATTTTTAACTTTTCATTAATTTAATAACATTAAAGTGAAACAAAAGGCTCTAGCAAGTATGCTTCTTGTTATTATGCTTATTATAAACTTATTATTATTACATGATTATTAGAACTTAGAATTCACAATGTGCTTTTTTGTTTTTTACCTCAATTTCATCTTATTTTGATATTGGTTTTAGACCCTTCCTTTCAAGAGGCATAAAACCGCTCAACTGGCTTTTCTTCCAGTTTCAACCTAGCCACTGAGGATTCCTCAAAAGTGTGAAACGTCTGGTAGCAATCTCAAACTGATCACATGGTTGACACAACAAAAATTCTGTGTACTAGTAACACCACAAATGATGATGGTCAGACCTGACTTGACGGTACTGGTCTCCTGTGCCACATCCTTGCTTGCGGTCGGCTGGTATCAGGATACACTCACTCCATCCTCCCACCTGCCACTGGAACACTTCACACGGCACCTGGCACAGCTTCCACTGGGTCTGTGGTCCACACTGTCTACCCCCTGCATTACCAGGTTGTGCCACCTATCACATCAAAGAACATGGTTTTGTAGCAAAATATGAGAGTGTTAGCTAAGCTTGGCTGATCATATGCTTAGCTTATTTCATTCTCACCACTTAGTGAATTTATTTTTCTCTCCCAGCCATAGGTATTTAGGATAAAAGGTACATTGAGGTGGAAAACTATGTGCTCAATATTAGCTTCAGATCACATTGGCCAACAAAATTATCATAGCTACCTTAGTATTAAATAATGGAAGTCGTAAAGGAATAAAAGTGAATAGCAATCAAAGTGATAAAGCTTTATGAACTCAACTTTTGACTCAACGTGTACTTGGAAGTACTTGAACCTTGACTTTGAGAACGACAACATGATTATTATTGTCATGATTTGGTTCTGGTTGTGACTGCTAATGGGTGTAAACAAACATCTGATAAACCTTTTAGTCCTCCTAACTGCAGGCAGTATTATTGAACAATAACCATTAAACTGAAACCGGCTTTTCATTTAGATTTTTGGTTTCAACAACAACCAACAACCCACTTATACAACCGACTTTAGCAACAGCAACCCCTTCCTAACTAGGAAATCTCTGGGATGCAAAACCTCATGGGCAGAACGCAACAGTTAATGAAGTACTTTAAGTTTGACCGTCTCTGAAGGAATTGGGGTAACCCAAATGGCCCACAATGTGGGTACTTAAGGCTACAGTCCTCTACACGATCGTCATACTTTACCTGTCTTGTGCGGTTCTGCAGCCCGGGGCCACACCTGACGTTGCAGTCTCCCCAGGCCGACCACTCAGTCAACTGGCAGTCTAAAGGACAAGGCACCAGGCAGGGCTCCTCTTGTAGTCCAGAGCCTCCTCCACACATGCTGTAACAAACCAGCAAGAGTTTTTATGAGGATAGCAGGATTACATGAATATGAAAGAGTCCACTCAGGCACAAGAAACACAAACATTACTTTAATTTACTCCAAAGATATATTTTTTTAAACATAGTGGTTTTAATTAAAATATATACGCTGTGGGTCGTGGGATTTGCCATTTTAAATGTAGTTTTGATTTGTTTTCAAAGGGAAAGGAAGTCCATGGAAGATAAAGGCCATCTTGGATTTTCTCGCTACAAAAGCAATGTTAATTTTGACAATTTCAAACAGCCCCTGAAGAGTTATTTACCATCTCAAAATATTTTTTTGGAATACCAAAGTGGTTGTAATTTAAATATCTAGTGCACTTGTGCGATTATAAATTTTCTTTGTAGTTTTTTTAATTGTTTTATGAGTTAGAATGTCTAGGCTTCAAGGACTCTTAACTAGGGAACAGGAGTTTTAATGCTATTAATGGTCCAAATTTACACTTTACTTTCTCACCTTGGGTCCACCATCTGATCCTTGTCATTGTAGCAGCCGACAGCTCGGTACCGTGTGCCGAGGCCACACCCCTCACTGCCATTGGTCAGACAACTTGACCAATTAGAGATGGGACGAGAGTAGTACATCTCACAAGGACAAGGTTTTGTCTCCACCAGAGGCATCTCTTGACAGACAGCATGTGCTTCTGACAGACCTGTGGGTAAAGTGGGAATAATGCAATTGCTACAATCACACTAGGCAAATGTTACTACAGTTTTGGGTTTTAATTAGTTTACAATGTTGTCAATTAATATTTTTTTTTTTTTAAAGAAAGGGAGGAGATTTAAAATAGTAAAATAAATGGTAGTCAGCAAATCTATGAGGAAAAAATAGGGCAATACAAGGGATGTCTGTGATATTAGATCTCCAAAGAGCTTCCGCCTGATAGAGCAATCTAACTCAAATATAACCCACGGCCAATTACACATTGCAGTCTTTATTAACATTTTTGTTGTTTAAGAGGCTAACCTCAAATAAAAACACCAAATGACAGATGGCAATGAATAAAAGTTTATGTAAAAATGAAAAAAGTACGTGTGAGTAATGGAGTAATGGTACAAGATCAAGATCAAATTTGCAAAACCAGAATGTGTTGCATCTATAAGTCTTTTCTGAGAGTTACAAAAGTTAAGGACATTTACTTGTGGCTGCGCATAACCAAAGTGATTGATGATATCTTTAAGAAAGCCAAATAGTTGTAAAGAAAGCTTTGGTTAAGTATGCTCGAATCCAATCTCCAGTGTCGAAATCCAGTCTTTGGATCTCAAAGGATTAAACTTTTAGACTACCTTCCCATACGAGTATTTACTACATTTACAAATCCAAACACTAAAATGAACTAAAACTCGTCAACTCCAGAGTTGGTGAAGACACAGTATCCTACCGATAAGTTGTCTGGTCCGGGAGCGTTTTCCGGAGCAAGGCTGCTGACACAGGCTCCACGAGGACCACTCAGTCAGCTGACATGGTACGTGACAGTCCATGTGGCAACGCTGCACAGTGACAGGCAGCGGCGCCCGAGTGGCAAGACAGAAGCGGAGCTCCACCTTGCGATCTGTACCTTCCTCATTGCACCACAAGTCTGCAATCAGAACCAACTGTTATTTACCAGTGCACTGGCAGCTTCTGATACATGGTACAACATAGACTTTTTTTTGTCAGGCTCTTCTGATAGTCTTGAAAAAAATCATTATCATTATACACTTTAGTTTTGTTCCATTCCAACATTGTGTGATTCTAAAGCATAATTTTGCAGATGTGGCAAAGTGAACATTTCCATGCGTTGGAAGAAGAAAGAAGTAAATACTTATGTATGCTTATGTACTAATGACTTATAGTGACTCTTGCAAGCGACGATACATACCCCTAGTCCTCAGCCCATGGCCACAGCGGACATCATGAGCCACCTGACACTGGCTCCACTCTCCTGTGCCCCACTGGTGTCTAGGGCATGGCTCACTGGGGGTGAAACACTCCCTGGTCTCCTCCAGAGGTCCACAGTCCGAGCCTTCCACCACCACTCGATAGCGCGACTGTTGGGTCGGTCCTGCTCTCGTACCATCTGCAGGCAATACACCAAGTGTAGGAACCAAATGTGACCACCCGTCGCTCACACCATGCGTTCTCTATAGTCCTCGCCACCCTAAGTTGAGGCAGCCAAAGGCCGCACTAGATACACGCCATGCGGCCTTGGGCTGCCTCAACTTAGGGTGGCGAGGACTATAGCATTATTAAAGTTTGAAATTTGTTTTGTTAAACCTTAAAGGAAAAATACAGTGTAGGCTATAGCTTGAGCTACCATCATGTGCAGACAATATTGTGGGCTTCTACTCTCAAGGTGTACTAATTATTGTTTTCTTTCAGGTTTGTTTGTTTTCTTAATTTTGATTACGGTGGCACTATCAAGTTCTCTGTTTGGTTTTTCTTTTGTGATTTTCCAATGTTGGCTAGGTTTGTAAACATACATTCTTACTTTTTAATGTTTCTCGATACTTTACCCAGGTACGGGATCAGATTCCAGGTAATCCACGATGTAAAAACTTTGTCCGCAAAAATCCCTTAAATAACAATCTCTAGTTACATTATACCGGACAGAAACACAGGGTTATTTGCACTCATCTCCAATAAGAATGTCACAAAACTAAATGGTTGGTACGTCTGTTTCCTGATTTTAGATAGCTGATTTTTTAAAACAAATGGTAAAGTTTATATTTCAAAGTTTGTTTTGACAAGGTTGTTTGGTCTCAGTTGCTTAGTTAAATACTATGAGACCTGTCAGTTAACAAAGGACTACTAAAACACAAGAAAAGGCATTTTGTCTTTTAGAGTTTGCTTGTACAGATGTTAGAGTTCTGCGGACTTTCAGACCAAATTTAGGAAGGGGACACCTCATTGGAACTCCATAGCTCTTTGGGTGAGGCAATTTAAGACAACTGGATGTTTGGGTGCCGGGACTACAATCTAGGATCACTTGAGGGATACATGTAAATTAAACCTTTTACTGTAAAAATCAGTGATCGAGAGGCTATACCATATAAAAGCATCTTTATCTGATCCACGAGGATGATAAATTGATAGTGTCTGATCTATTGTTGGTTTAGACATCTACAAAGAATTTTTACACAACACATACTAGGTTGGCAGTTCTGGGGTGGACAGGGTGACCACTCCGACCAAGGAGAGACCTCACATTGTACTGGACAGTCCTGCACACAGCTACGAGACGTGGCAGGCTTGGGCAGCAGCTCACATCTGCAACAGAAACACATTAACCTAGGGTAGTTGATGAGGATACTTCTCTTCTACTGCATATTATTATTGATTATAAAGGAGTGTTACAGTCAGTACCTTTGAAAGGGACTTAAAATCAACTGAAATTTGTACTTCAGTGAGTTCAAAGACTCCATCATAGGGTTCGCTTAGCAGTATATTAAACAACATTTAGTACACTTTTTGACTTTATTTGCTTGTTGAATCCTTCTGCCCATCTATTCAAACAGGGCCGAAATAGACCATTGAATGGATTTCTAAAAAGAAGCTTATGGTGGTCTCATCTATATATATAATACGCTAAGCCGATTTTTGTAAACAGAACTCCTCCCTCAATTTTCGACCGATTTTAATGGTTAAAGTGTCAAAAGAAAGGCCATGATCTGTAGTTTTGCAAAGTGTTTTTCGTTTTTTGAAATCTTTATTAGTTTGGGCAGGATCTTCCATCAAAGTTGGGTTTTCTCCCATAAGATTAACATGGGGGAATCTAAATATTTAATTGGAAACTTTGTCTCCACTAATTTGAGAGAACGGCTGGGCGTAGAAACTTGGTAGAGGTGTCCAAAGAAAGGTCTTGGTCTGTAGATGAGTTATCAAAAGAAAAACGAAGTAAATTCCCTTAGGGCTCTGCCCCGGAAGCCTTTAAAGCTCCCTCCACGGATTTGTTTACATTTTGGCCATGTGGATAATACTTTTAATGAAACAGCTGTTCATTTTTCAATTGTATTTAAACAACACACATTTATTGGGAGTTACTGAACTGTCCAAAAAAAGTATTTGCAAAGTTATTTTCTGATTTTAAAATTGATTTTTGTCTGTATCATGTTATGTTTTGCAATATAACATCCCATTACGAAATCAGTAGAAAATCCTTTTATCACAGTAACTCTTACAATTATTTTTTATTAGACTATCTTATATTTATTGTACGGGTTGGTGTCTGCCTTTTTCACCACTTTTGGCTATATTTTATCATATTATTCTAGACAGATCATCATAGGTTCATGAGATTAATGTCATAGGTACATGTTTTCAATCATTGGAAAAATCTTCGATTGCGTAATACAATACAGTACTGTACAAAATAATACAAGTGCAGAAGTGTTTTATTAGCTTTAACAGTAACCCCACAACTAATTTCTCAAAACTATGCTAGAGGGTTATTCTTTGACACAGAAGTATGAACTGACGCGACGTGACAAAGGAAAAATCAAACTTACACTGTAACGGATGGACCTCCCTTTGAAGCTAGAACGTGTCTTCTCAACAAACAGATATTTTTTCTCAAATAAAATCATAGATTAATCTTTATTGCACTGATGAAATCGCAGAAGTTTTTAACTACAAAAGATCCACCAATACAATTTTATACTATCTAAAGGTTCTTCCAAAAGAAGAGATACCAGTTAACATACTAATAATAACTCCGATGACGTACGGTATAGGAAATAATTTATTCATTGAATGATCGACCGTATTTGGTAACTAATGCAATTAATATCAATAATGTTTTTACACTTATTGCTCTTTAAACAGTGCTAAATGCTCAAAATCTGTATAATTTAACTCAATTTATCGCAGTTGGATGAATTAGCATAAGCCTTTAAAGTAACCGTCGATTTCGACGGGTTTCACCTAGTTAAAATGTATTAACTGTAAGACAATCTTTAACATTATTATCATTACTTTAAAGATGAAAAATCATCTAAGTGTGTATTTTACACTTAATATATGTGAGGGATCTAAAATCTTTTTTTCTAAAATATATTTATTAAAACCTAATTGACATGAGTACAGTTTTAAACCACCAAAAAGCTAGCTTTCCTCAATATTGGAATGGTGATCTTTCGACTGACAGGTATGCACTACAACCATGGGCGACTTTTTTATAACCCCTTTAGCTGATAACGGCTGGAGGGTCTGGGGGATATGGAATAGCTTAGTACAAAATGTTTGATTTTACGAATTTTTTTACCGGTACCTAAATTTGCTTCATCAATGTATTGACTTTTGCATAATTAAAAAAGAAATTGAAAACTAACTTTATTTCATTTCTATTTACAATATTTGAATCATCTTTACTTCACAGTTTTTTTCTGAGTCCAATTTTCTGATTCATACAGGAGATGGTCTGATAATTGTTTTATATATTTATCTTCTGTGTTTTTATCTGATAAAATGTGATAGATGTGTGGTGATATTTCACATTACGATATCCATGACTGCAACTAATTAGCTACCAAACTTCAGCAATATAAGTTAATAAAGTTTTAAAGTTTTTAAAATTTGAAAACACAATTAAAATCTTTCAAGAAAACTGTATATTTAGAACAGAAGTTACTCACTTGCTCTCGTTCACCATGTCCTGATTGTCCTGTACACACCACACCTCCCGCACCTGCACTCCCTCCCCTGAGTCACATGAGGCGTTGCAAGGTTGCCACGGTAACGTCAGCCAGCTGTACCCGTGGCAACCGTGACTGTTGCAACCGTCCATCTGCAACATCTCATCCGGGTCGGGACATGGATGACCACCTGGAAAAAATACACTTTTAGTATAGTTAAACTACACTTTTTGTTGAGTTTGAATACCGGCTCAGTTGAGTTTTATGGATGAAATAAATCACTATAACAGGCCCCACTCGCAAGAACCCTGCTATTACAAAACCACTATATCACAGTGCTTAGTGGACTATGATCACTTTGTAGTACTAAATGATTTAATTTAGCTATCTGTCGATAATCCTACTGTCGTCAATGGTAACCGGTTTCAAGATTGAAATGTCATCTTCAGGATTTTTCAAATATCGTATCACTCAAGTTAAGGTGGTTGTGACTAGCCAGTTATACATATTTTGTGTACAAAGTCCTTTTTGTTTTCAAGTTTTATGTTTTCTGTTCATGTTTTTGTGATCAACGAGGATCTCAACTTGAGTTATATGACATTAGAAGAAGCCTGATGAGATTTTAATCTCGAAACTAGTCGCCATAGACTACAGTAAATCAAACCGTTTGAATCTAAAAACAATTAACTCTGTCGACTTTATCTTCCCACTCACTAGACTTTGAGCAATAGATTGTAAAACTGTTCCAAATGTACTCACAGTCGCCTGCGCACAAGTTAGACCTAGGATTAGTCCAGGTAATATCCAAGCAATTAAGCGGGGGCTTTCCTAGGCACGGAAGTACACGTAACGTTACACGTAACGTGTAACGCGGAGAGCGGACACTACTTAACTTAGGCAATTTAATGTTACTGTTTTCCTAGAAGTGGAGTGGAACACCCTGTTAATCTCTTTTCTCCTGTCTGCTCTCCACGCTCCTCTTCTGCTTAGGAAATCCCAGCTTTAGTTCATAGCTGGTAGTTGTATGTTTTGCTTGCTGACAAGCCTGATACTGGTTGGCTAGTACTGTAGCTTGTAAATTAACCCTGTTATTTGCCTGTATATTGATAAATAAGATGTTATTAATTAGTAAGATAGATAGGCCTGTCTCCATAATTTACTCACCAGGTCCGTGAGGGGCTATGATGGTACGGTTGCGGTATCTCATTGCCAGTTTGTTGCGTGTGGAGCAGCTCTGAGAGCAGGGACTCCAGTTTGACCAACCCGACACCACACAGTCGTAGGGACAAGGCAGTAGACACGGCTCCTCCGTCGGGGGCTTCAACTGGGGACACAGCCAATCAGCAACCACCTCCTGTGGTAAACACATCCTGATTAAAACTGTCTCGTTCTCAATAAACAGATACAGGAAATAAATAGATGGTTAAAAACTGAGATTGCCAGTTTGAAGTCTTTTCTATTCAGGTAAGTCTGCTATCCTCACAAACAATCTACATCCTTTACTTAACCCTAGAGTGGTGTCTTTGGTCTGTGAGTCCGATGACGTAATATTTTCAAGTTCCTGCTCCCTCCGCTTGGGTGCAGGACTTGTGCCTCCTGCTACCTTTCTACCTCGACTCCCACCAGACCTCTACCACCAGACGCGAGGGCGTAATTTTGAGGATACAGATTCATCTGCAATTGTGTAATTCGGTCCCCTAAACCAAAGACACCTAGGGTGTGATTGATCCAACAGACCGAAGATAATTGTAATAATTTTACATAGTTTATATCTGGTACCTCCATAGTTATGTACCTACATAAAATATTTATAAAATACGAAAACTGTGTCACAGTCCGAAGACAACAAAGGTGTAGGCTAATCAGAGTCTCCATTACTCTAAAGCGTAAAATAAGCATTATTTGAAGTCTCAGACGTTAAAAATAGACGGAATTCCGATGCTTTATGTTTTTTTTACATCAACTAGTCCATAAAATTTCAGAAAATATATAAAAATGGTCTCACGGACCGAAGACACTAAATGTGTGATACAAATCAAGACACCACTCGAGGGTTAAAATTATTAATTAGTGGATGGTATTTATATTTTCTGTGACTATTCAGAGTTTCACATTAAGAAGGTATATGTGATCAAATAACTTATATTACTTTACTCATGAAACAAACATTTACTTAATGTGCTTAATAACATAAACTAAGATATTTTATGTTTAGCCAGATTAGTATTCTATTGTGATTTGTGGATTATCAAATTATTAGATTCCAATTATTAGCCAGTCCAGAGTCACGCCATCATGAAGCAGCTAAGAATGAATGAATGAATGAATGAATGAATTATGAATTTATTCCACCACATATATAAAATTACACTACCAAATGTACAAAAGAAAAAAGGGCTTTATGCAAAACTAAACTAATTAACTATAACTAATTAACTTATTATTGGTGAGTTATAGGTGATATGGCAGGTTTTGAACCAAGGACTTTGGGGACCAAAGTTTGCACTCTACCTACACCAACTTGTTACACAGCAAGTCAACTGTAGAATGGAATAGCAAGGAGTTTTGTTATCATAACCCTTACCTTAAACTCAGTAGCGTCAGTGTGTGTTGTACAGGCTACTCGCCTAGTGCGTCGCCCAGTGCCACACTTGGCCGCAGCCCCAGGCTCCAGCTGACAGGCCCCCCATGCATCCACCGTCCAGGAGTAGCAGGCGGGGTGTGCGCAAGGTTGTACCTCAGTAAGCGAGGGACACTCCAGCCCCAGAGCACTAGGAGGCACAACCACGGCTCTCGTCCTCTTGCGGTGACCTACCACAGAATGAAGAAACATAGAAAGATTAATTACCGTAACTAATCTGGATTTTTTTAACACAAGTGGCGATTTATAAAAATTATCTCCTTTCTACTATCACATAATTTTTCACTTTTCAATAGGAGAATCCATGTCGTACATATACTGTAGGCCCTACACAGAAGACTAGTTTGGGATAACTTAGTATCACAGATAGTTACGAGTGTTCTTTCACATTCAGACGTCACAGTACTTGTAAAAATTAAAAATAACTTCAACTCTGTGTCAAAACCTAAAAACAATGGTAGCAACAATCTTGGATAATAAGCAGGAGTCATAATACTTGGACCAATAATTATAATTTCATTTTAATCTTAAAAAATAATCTGGTTAAATTGTTGTTAATATTTTTAAAACAATGCTAGGAATGAAGAGGATACCTTTAAACTGATTGGTAGGTTGACAACTTTGGTAACTGAACAACAGAATCACTTGACAGTTCTAAAGGTATTTTAAACATTCATTTTTAATTTTTTGTTGTGAACACCGTATGATGATAAAATAGTTTAAAAAAAGTCTTGGATCACCCAAAGAAACTTTTGGATCAAGGTATTCTGCATTTGTCATATACTCTATAACTTGTTTTATGTATGATTCCAAGCAATCGTCCATCTGTGGGTACCAAACATCTAACATACCTTTAGCAGACAGGTTGGCTTCATCAGAGGGAGGACAGTGTTGGGGTAGACAAGGACCCCACACACCCCAGGGTCCTACCTCACAGTCTCGGGGACACGCTACCTCACATCTGCCAAATACAGGGACAATACTAAAAACAGTATATAAGTAGGGGATCTGAGGAGATTGGGGTTAGGAAAAACAGGAAATGACATACATGAAAATGTGGTATTGTTGTTTAAAATGGGAATGTTTACAATTTACATATCACTTCTAACAAAAAGTCCTTGGTCTTCTGGGTACGACCGCGTCGGAAAACTAGGATAAACACTAGTTGCTGACGTTTCGACTTCGTTGCAGATAGCCATCTTCAGAGCTGGTAACAGGCACTAACTGAAACAAACATTAGTTAGTAACTGTTACCAGCTCTGAAAATGGCTATCTGCAACAAAGCCGAAACGTCAGCAACTAGTATTTCTCCTAGTTTTCCGACGCGGTCGTACCCAGAAGACCAGGGGCTTTGTGTTAGTAATTGTAATCTTGGAAGCCTTACTTGGATATATGACTTCTAGTAGGATCTATTCATATCCCCCCTTTCTAGTTTCTCTACCCGTAAACTCTTAGACAACTCTTTGGACCCCACAAAAACTCCCTCCTATTATTACTTGTGTTCATTGTGCAGTACAAAGCGCCCATAAGCCATAAGCACAGTTTTTGTAACCATCCAAAAAATATAAGGATTCATAAAACACTCCTTTCATTTATTCTAACCCTCTTTTACTACTATAGGCTACCAAAGTCAGTATTAAAATCATTAAGTCAAAATACCAATGTATAAATATCTAAATAATCAAATAACTAATCTATACAGTAAATAGTTAAAATCTATTTCAGTGCCTTCAAGAAGGCCACGAGGAAAGTTGACACAACCCACATGATGTTTCCAGTTGTGTTAATAGCCCAACTATCTCCTAGGGCCCTCGACTACCATATGAACAAGGAATGGAGTAATTTTCTATGAACAACCATCATCCCAAACCTATAGTAGAGGCACGAATTCTTACAACAGCAGTATTGTTAGAATAGAAGGCTGAATTTGAAACCCAATAGCAACCTGTACTTAGAGTAGATGATTTACCTCTGCACAGTTGGCGGTGGTGGGATAGTATGACAAGCCTTGGTAGGGAGAGGTTGGCCACCCTGGGCTGCTACACATGTGATGTTCCTGAACTGTAGACCTCCACCACACACCACCTCCGCCATCACATTGGGCAGTGTACATGTGCTCCACTTGGACGCCAACCATCTGTACCTGGAGTCAAAGTAACAACTGAACAATCGTAAATGTATTTTTGTACAATAGGGGTAATACTTGAGTAGGAAATTCCTCTGGTGAATTTTAAGTAGGTAATTGCAAGAATAATACCATTGACTATTGGATACTTAGACATCCCATCTATACATACAGTTGTCGCAAAAAAAACAAACTTGTTGAGTGAGCCAGTCACAGAATGCGCTAGTGTCTAAAATTCCACTTATCCTTACTATTTGTTGCTGACATAGCTCATGGGTCATGACAGTTGCTATAGCTTTTTTTCCATAAGTTTGACTCTGTATCAAAGTGAGTTTATTCAACAGATATCAGTAATTTACATCAGCACAATCTGCAATGATTCACATCAACTACGACAATTTTTATTTAAAACTGCTATGACTTTATCATGGGGATGGAATATCTAATTGTGTCAATACTAATACTCAAATGTGGTCAAAGGTAATAAATAGCTTAAGATGACAATAAAGTCATTTCATTTGAATTTTGTAAATAAAAAAAATCTAATCATAACTGGAGCTAAGAAGACAAAGTTTTTGAATATCGCAATCACCATAGATGAAATTTCTTCATAAAGCTTATAACCTAATAAGAATAATGGGTACTTTCCTGTTAAAGGGAACATTCATTATTATCGATGATTTTTTCTCGATATATCGATATTAACGAATTGAAACATATCAGCTGACAACTACGCGATACATATTGTTCAATATCAACAAACAATAATGAAATGAAACCGTTTTAAAAAAATAACATAACTTAACTATCCAAACTTGCTATAACATTTAAAAATTCCGTGTTTAACTTGCCTTTTCTATTATCAAACCCAAACGGAATTTTTTAATGGTCCAGCAAATTTGGTTGATTATGTTAGATTAGCTTAGAACAGTTTCATTTCTTAATCCATATAATAGACTATTTTCGCCTAAACAAGATCAGTTAGTTGTTGTCAATTTGTAATGGATCGGAAAATAAAAATATCGATATATCGAGAAAAAATCATCGATAATAATGAATGTTCCCTTTAACAGGAAAGTACCGAATAATGCTATCTATAATTTAGGAGGTAATGGATAATGTAAAATGTAAGCAGCACAGACTCTTTCAAACATAGCAGGCCCGCTTTTATAAATGGGCAGCCCGGCTGCACTAGGAAAAAAGGGGGTCTTGCTTTTTGGTTTGCCCAGGGCTCAACTGACCCTTAACGCGGCCCTGAAACGTTATACTGTTTTGGTTCTATATTATGTACACTACAGTGTATTAGTTTACAGTGCCACATCCCAACAAAACATAGAAGAAATTCTTTCTAAAATTAACAACCCAATATCACACAATTTTTATTTTAAAGAGAAATATAAATTATTGACTAACGTTCGTATTAAAATTTTGTACAGGTAAATGTATAACATTTAATTCTTACTATATTTATTTAGAGTTTATAATAGTTTGTTGTAAAATTGTGTTATTGGTTTTATAAAACTAATATTATCAACACAAGAATCAGAAAAGTTTCAGGATAAAAAATAATAAAGCAACTTTAAAGGGTGTTGAGAGTGAGATAGTGGGTTTGAAATTGATCTTGACATCAATGTAATCTTCAGAGTCCTTGAGGATGTGCCTCACTAAATTTTATTGTGAAGGAGTATCTCAGTTTGAGGAATATTAGATTTTTTACAAACACGATATTCTCAACATTCACACATACATCTCAGGCACTGGAAAAATTTAGGCTCGGTAAAAATAATAAGACTTTGAGGGTATTGAAAGTGAGTAAGTGGGTTTGAAATTGATCTTGTTATGTATTCAGAGTTCAAGGATGTACCTAACTTAATTTTATTGCAAAAGAGTTAGGATTGTCTGACAAGGTAGCCTATGTTTAACCATTATTTGTCATATTAACGCAATCCTGGGGCTATGAAAATTAATTTGAAATACCACACCCTCATCAGTACCGGTAAACAGTTCAACAGAGAAATGTTTTCAACTAACTTGTGAGAGCAGAGAGGTAGGTTTGAAGTGGTGGACTTAGTCTCTATCAAGTGAGGACATGGTTGACCTTGTCCCTCGTGGAGTCGTAGAACTTCTCGCTTTCGTTCTGTGATCTCTGCCCAAACCTGCAACCAATAGAAACATTCTTACAATTATTTTTTCAAGGTATGTTTCTATTCACGTTTACAGGCCCAAGGTTGTTGTAACAATAAGGGTAACAGATAAGTATGGTACAGATGAAACATGCTTATGGGACTACTGTGCACTTTCAGCTCTGGTATTTTGGGGTGGAAGTATACTTGTAACGAGCAAGGAAGAGCTAGAATGGCGAGTGCTATGCGGAAATGCCTATCCCAATGGGCACAGGGTCTTCCTTCAACATGAGCAATGTAGTACATGACAGTGAGGGGAGCCGGAATTTTGCCCTAGATACAAGCACTAGTTTGAGATACTAGTTAAGTGTACATTGAATGTATCCTGTGTTCCCTACTTCTCTAGCAAGTAGTTCCCTACTCTACCAGGCTGGTAGAGATGTTAAACAAAAACTTGTGCTACAAGGAATGTTGCTTTAAGCAGGTTAAGAATTTTGATCCAGGAAACAGTTTGCGAAGTTTCAAAGTTTTGGGAAAAATAGAGAAGCTGGAGCCCAAGTTTTTTGGTAAGGGTAAGGTTTGGATTATGGATTATTATTTTTTTTCAGTTTGAGGTTAATTCTTGAGCCATGTCTCCTCAATGTTTTTGTCGGCGAATCTTACCCCTCAATATTAGCCATTTAATATTTTCCACCACAACGTTACAGATTAAATACATGATAAACTTATATGTTTCCTAGGGACCAATGTAACAGCTTTAACAAGGGGATCATCAGCATCTTCCCCTTTAAAGAAAACTTACGGCATAAATAACCAGCACAGTAATTTAAAAAAAATGGCAACATACTTTTATGTACCATAGTTATTCATAAAAATCTTCTTTAAAAAAGTTTGAAATTATAAAACACCAGTGTTTTGTGTTAACTTAAGTGTGACACATTGTCAAAGTACACACACTGCCCAACGAGGAATATTGATGAAACTGAGTTGGCGTTGTTGTATTAGAACAAGAGTGACAGAGAGACAAATAGAAGTTGGCTGGCAGGAGCATACTGATGAGCAGCTAATCTTACAACTGCAAGAGTGTGTGTGTGTGAGAGAGAGAGAATCAGTCGTAGCAGATTGCATCGAATGTAAAGTTAGGAGATAGCAGTTTTGCCTTTTAAGTAAGTACACCTTCATGTATATTGAACCACCGACCAAGATTATTGGATAGGTTAGTTCTGAAAAAGATTGATTCCAAATCCTGACCCAGTTGCCACAAGTTATATATCACACTTAATTGACTGATTGTAGTAAACATTTATCATAGAAAATCCTCTTCTTAATTACGAGTATTTATTGGTAAACCCCACCAGCCCACCAGAGTATTCTTTTTGCAGAACTGTGTCATAACAAAATACTCATGGTCAAAGAAGAATATCCTTTCAAGATTGGAGCATTGTAGAAATAATATGTAAATTGCTATGGTCAATGTCTTATATTTTCACTGTGTTTATAGTACAGTATAACAAAAATACACATAATAATGACAACCATAAAGAATCCAGTAGACAAATTTAAAAATAAATATTTTAATTTGGTCATAAACTTCATCATTAATTATTTTACTAATTGGTTCTTGTCATAAAATAATATCAACTCCTAAATTATTAATGCCATTTTTTTATATTTCACAAACCGAACCTCAAGTTTCACCTTTGTACTTTATTTTTTAACATACCTAGCCCAACTTTAAAAAATTTCCTTGTTAAGATGTTTTTTGAAAAAATGTCTGAGTATAAAATTCATGAAGCTATAGTGGTTTTTTAGACAAATTGTAGAAACATATAGGTAAGATTTTTCAGATTTTAGACTGATACAAATTTGATTTCAAATCTTTTACAATAAAATTATTTGTGGAAGAAAACCTTTATTTTCGACCATTGGAAAATATATGGTTTTTCATTTAACTCCCATGAAACAATATACTGGGACCCACGTGCTTTTTAATCCATCTAGTTTTAAAAGCAAATAATAATAATAATAAATTAAATATTTCAAAAATATAATAAAATAGTGTGATAACCCCTAAATATATCTACTAAACACCTGCCACATAGGTGTCACATTACCAATACAAAAACCTCACTTTATTAACCACTTCCGTTTTATCGTTCAACACAATCTGAGGATGACGAATGAACGATTAAACCACGAGTTACAAGGTTGACAGCATTTCAGAGGGAATAGCAGACAATGCAAATCACACTAATGCGAACAAACAGCAAACGTAAACAAACGGGAATGCAAACATGTGCGCCACCGATGTAGCAGATTCATCTCAATCACACTTGAATTACCATGTGTCAGCACACCGTTTGTGTGGGGTCGGGAGTCCTGACGAGGAAAATAGGCGTAAAGGTAACTAAAAATAAAATGTTTACGAAATAAACTGAAGGACAAATTTAAGAATTAGTAATCCTTCCAGTTTTAGGGATTATTAGTTGATTTAATTGACGGTTTACCTATTTTTTACTAAAATATTTTGCTATCTTATAAAAATAATATCCGTATAAAACATGTTTTCAGTGGACGCGGATATTTAACATTAATATATGGTCAAACTTCCAAATTACTGCTTTGTAAATAAAAAGTGACTGAAGTAGAATTCAGAAAGATGTTTGTAACAGATTCTAAGTATTCTAACCTTTTAACGTTCTGCTCTGATACAAAAGCTTTCATTGTCTTGTAGTTTGAAACCATTGTTATACTGAATCTAACTATGTAGAAAAAATATATGTTAAGAAGAGGAAAGCTGTCACTGTGACCCCTCTCTGTGTTGCACAACATGAGGAATAATTTCTGAGAGTTCTTTTAACAAATATAATCCACAATAGAATTTGAAGCATTACAATGATTTATTGAATTACTGATAATCTAAAAAGAATAATCACATGCTTGGGTGGATAGAATTTATACAGATTAATGAAACAAAATTTGTCTAAATTGATTTTTAGAGTTAGGGTATATGGACACTTCTTTCAATTACTGTATTTAGTTACCTAATTTAAAGGTATTTAAGTTAACCTAACATATTTTCACATTTAAAATAAAACCCTGATATGAATTTTGTTAAAATTGTTTTAAAGCTTGTTATTTTAGGCTAGAAAACTGAAACTGTATACATATACAGTTCAATCTGCAGTAACAGTAAATATGTGAGAGAATTGGGGGTAAATGTAGGGAGGCAATGGGGGGGAGGGGGGGGGGTAGCCGCAGTCTCTAGGCACGTGTTACTGCAGGGAACCTACGCTCTCAATGTATCCTGCAGGTTTGTAGGTACAGTATGTAGTGCAGGTTTACAAGTGTAAATATTTTTATATAAAACCCACTGTAGTGGTATATATAAATTCAAATTGATTTAAAAAATTGAAATCTTACTACACATTGTCGACTGCTGCAGAACAAAGAATAAAATTACATTAAATTTTGCAAGCTTGTTTTAACCTAATTATGATAATTGTTTTATAGGTGGTTTCTTATAATATTAATTGACAATTTTATGGCTGTTAATGATATTAAATATAGCACTTGATTTTCCAAATTGAATTTCTTCCAAAATTTCTCGACTTGATGAGGAATTGTTCCTCTTGATCCAATGAGTAGTCCATATACTTCAAATTTAGATATTTTATATTTTTCCGAATAACATGGGATAGTTTTCTCATAAACTTTTTCTTCATGGACTTTCTGTGACTGATTTTCATTTGTCTCAAGACGAACTGTTGGGTCTATAATGAGACCGAAATCTTTCTCCTTGTCTATAACAATGATGTCACTTCGCCTCACAGAGCCCTCTTCTTCTATAGCCGTGACCTCTTCATAGACCTCGTAACTTTTCTTTCTGAATTGATCAGCTATGATTTTTCTGATCGTATGGTGGCGGACGACCATCCGCAGAAGACCACTAAACAGGCACTTTCCAGGGACGTGGGCAAGAGTTTTAAGAATAAATATCTCAGATACAGGACAATGCCTGCACTGGTTCCCGTCCCTGGATCTCCCATGAAGACTTCTAAGAGGAATAACGTCTCCAACCTTTGCAAGTATTGTTTGAACTCGGCTTCTGTGAGGCCACAACCTCTAGCCAAATTTTTATTGATCTTATTACATTCTTTGAAAAGAAGAATGATCCCATTAATGATCCCACATTTAAATCCTTACATTACAATCCCACTAATGATTTGGGGAAAAAATTTAAATTGGTTTATTATGGATTTTCCACTACAGTGGGCTTTCATATAGTTGGAGCTTATCTTTGAACTTTTATTTGTTGGACGATTTAATTAACTATTATGATTGTAAAAGAATATTCTTACACAGTTTTGTATCCTACACTGTAGACAGTTGTATCATAATTACTTAATGTATTGGTAAGTTTATTAAGATATAGGCTAGTCAGCAATTAAGGAGCCATATTTTGAAGAACAAATATTTCGCAATGTTAAGGTAAATGCACCAGTAGCTGACAGTGCTCCAGAAGCTGACAGTTTAAGTTCCTTTACAATATAATGTGGTCTCTTAAAAAATATTTACACATGATTGCATTGTTAGAAGAACATATGTTTATTCTTGATTTGTTTACAAACAAATCAGTGAAATTTAGCCCATACTCGCTGAATGGTGGTGGTTTGAAAGCGACCCTGTCTGTACACATCACATTTAGTCGATTCCCTTAATGAAATTGTTAAGAAGGTAAGTTGGGTTTTTTGTCATTTCGCTAAATTTCTTAAATAGTATTAATGATTAGACTCATTATTTTTATCAATTATACCTTTGTTGACAATTTCATGATAAAATTGGGGTGTTAGGGGTTTAGGATTTAAAATTATATCAATGTCAGGCTTTGGTACACAAAAGCCATACAAGTTCCACTAGCTGACAGGGGATATTTGCTACTTGCACAATATTAAATTGGTTTTACCCATCAAAATTTGCATGCTATTTATAATTTATGTGATCTCACATTTTTATAAAATGATTTTAATTTTTTAATTAATAAGCCAAATTATCTTAAAAAAATTTATATTTTTTTAATATATATAAAATACATATATTTTTTTAATGTAAATATTTTTTATTTTAAAATATGTAAAATAAATTTTCTTAATAACGTTTTACATGATTTTATAATTTAATTATTAAGTTAGATTTTATTCGTCTTATAAATTATAAAACCCTTAGGTTTAGCAGCTAGTACATTTATAGTTCCAGTGTCAGCTACTGGGACAACTGACAGTCAGCTACTGGTACAAGCACTTTTTTCACTGTCAGCCACTGGAACACGTACAAAGGTTGAATTAAGCTTAAAAATGTTATAAAATATATTTAAAAAACCCTTTTTGTATGACAAATTTGAAAACTACACTAAATTTAGAATCACATAAAATCCGTAATATCTCTTTAGTTCCTATTTATTCAAAACCACGGATTATTAAGTGCGTATAATTTCTTATACTGTCAGCTACTGGTGCGTTTACCTTATGTGAATATCCTGGAAGAATGACCAAATTAAAACCCTAAAATTTGGAAAAACCTAAATCCTAATCTACAATCTAAATATCCTAATTTTAGTGTCTGCCCTCAAAAATCAATGGCGACCATCACATACCACGCTAAATTCATATAAAAGGTTGAGTTCCACACAAAAGATGCTGAATGGAAATCAATTTCGAATCAACACTTCCATTCATCAGGTTCAATGTGAGAACTCTTTGTTGGGTTTTATTATGTTATCGAGCCTGCTGATGACAGCAGACTCTGGTTGGAATCAATTGCCTCCTATTTAGAGAGGTTTTTTACTTCGGTTTTTTAAGTTAACTACTTTCAAAATTATTGGGAAGAAGACAAAAAAAAAAAAAAAAAAACTAAACCTACTGTGCTTTAATTTTGTATCAAAATATGACTGATCAAATTTAAAAGAAAATCCCTACATTTTTTATTGTTTTTTATTTTTGTGTTCAACACTAAAATTTCCAATTGTTAGGTGGTTTTACTACATTCATTATTTGATTAAGTGGAATATTCTATACGTATTTGACTTGAATTTTGCAATCAATGATAGAAATAGTTACGGTTTGAATTTAAGATAAATAGACATTAAAGTAAAGTAAAAAGAAATAAATATTCTGTGTATATACATTTACCACGTTAAAATTAATTGGCCTAGTGTAGTAATACAAAGGTGGTGACGGAAACGGAAATAGACTGGACAGAAGATAAATTTTGGACTCCAGCAGGCCCACGGATAGTCTTTTGGATTCGATCTTGTTGAATTTTCTTAACAAAGTGTTTAAAAAAATTAAGAGTTAGATTTCCAACATAAAAATGAATAAATAAAGTAATTGCTAACATACAAGTTTTTAATTTGTTTGAAAGTAGAACAAAATTATAGGCCTAGTAAGGTGATGTTGGATTTAGATTCAGTGGTTACACAAAACACATTCTACAAAGTGGATGTCCATTTAAGCATTTCAAACATAAGGATGCATTAGCATTCTAAAATCAATAATGTCAGACTAAGTGGACCACAGAGAATGGTAGGCTAATTTGCGTGTAATCTTAACCGATTACGTATAGGATAAAGTGGGGTTGTAATGTGGAATAGTCTGTGCAAATGGTGAAATCTTATCCTTGAACAACGATGTTTGGATGAAGTGAGATTTGGTTACTCTATACATAAGTGTGAAGTGTTTTGCGTTTGTTAGTGAAATTTTATATTTAAACAAAGTTGTTGCATAAAAGTGGCAAGTTGTAACAACTTGTGACAAGTGGTAAGTTGTGCATTGTGAAATACACTGTATCCATGACTAAGATCTTGTATTTCAAGATAATAACTTTGTAGTAAATGGTATACCTAATGGGTTTCTTGATAACATATACCAGCAGGTTAGCGTCTAGGAAATATTTTACTGGATCATTCGACACCAACTGTTGGCCAACAGTTTTATGCTTACAGGTTGCTTTTTACTTCACAAAAGAAGGCGGTGAAGATAATTTGTAGTGTGAATAGAAGAACACATTGTAAGCCCCTTTTTGTGAGTCTTAACATTCTCACATTTCCATCTTTGTATGTTTTGGCAAATTTGTTTTATGTAAAAGAAAACATTTCTCACTTTGAAAGATATCTGATGTGCACAACTATTGTACTAGATCTAAAGATAATCTGTCTACACTAAGGCATAAATAAGTATACAGCCACTCAAAATAGTTTTTAGTACCAAGGTGTTAAAATATACAATTTCTTGCCTGCATCCATCAAAAACCTGTGCGTTTTAAAATTCAAACAAGTTTTAAAAACCACTCTAACCCAGGTTTGCCTGTACAAACATGAAGAGTACTTTGGTTTAGAGTTTTAGTTATTTTAGTTGCTAGAGCCATCTTTATTGTTTTGTTTTTCTTTTGACGATTGTCATGAACTTTGTACATAGTATTAACGACAATAAATCATTTAATTTCATTTCAACTATTAATAATGAACTGAAAAAGGCCAACGCAACGTCATCAAGTGATCATAGGGTGGGTTGAGTCTTTCAATGGACTCAGTTCATGGTTTGGACAAAATTGTTTTGGCCAATTTTACCTAATCAATTTTAAGGTTACACATTTTTGTTTTCTTCACAATTATGAATATCTTCTGAGATTTGTGAATGGAGCTAGACTAGATCTATCTTTATGCTCTGGACCTAGGCCTATATTTAGGCTACCTATAGACAAGCTATAGTAGATTGACAACAGAAAGGTTTATTGTATTGTAACCTAGATATTATAAGGTAAAACAGGGATAGTTTGTAGTGTGAGGTATCTTACATTGCCAGTGGCGTCCACACAGCCCTCCTGTACAACGGCCCAGTCTCCCCACTCACTGACACTGCAGTCCTGAGCTAGGATACAGGCTCTCTCTCGGGGTGGTAGCGACGTCTCGCCCTTCTCCTTTGTACACATACTGTAACAGAAACATTACATTAATTACCTACCAACTGAGATGAGAACCCAACTGGGTGTATTTGAACCAAAAATGAGTGAAGGATGAGTGTAGAATGGTGTGAGTAGTTACTACTAACAAAGACAAGGCCAAGCTGTTTTTTTAGTGGTGACTATTTGTTTAAAAAGCGAAATGATTAAGGAGAGCTAGAGCCAGTTTTGAGCCATTAACAAGTTTTGAATTTGATTATGATTTAACTGGAAACCTTTTGATTACTGGGCAAATACTAGAAACTTTGAACTACCCAGATCAATGTAACTTATGTGTATAATAAATCCCTAGTTGAATATGTCTACTGAAATTTTCACACAAGTTACACAGTAAAGTATTATTTTTAACAAGTGACAAATTCTATAAGTTAGAAAGCATAGTTTAGCCAGATTTACAAGAGTTAACTTAATCGCTGCCATTAAATATTTGGCTAAAGACACAGTTTTAATTATTCAATGAAATAATAGGCAGAACTTAGATGTCAACTTGAATTGGTTAGTAACCAAGACCAAACCCTCAAAAAAATCCTAAAATAGCCAATAGCCTACAATTAAGTAGGCATAACATAGTTAAAAATAAAGACAAGTTATTTTCCACAAATTTGCTTGGTAGACTAACTTAATTAACTTCTTTAACATGTAAACACAGTTTCAATACACTTCATAACTTTAACAGAAAATAATTTTTTTATATACGGGGTGTCCCACGAAGGGGTTTAAACGTTTGATTTTATATTACGTGCCCATTCATGTATCGAACTTTTTTAAACTTTACACAGTTTAAGAAGTAGGATATAAAAATATTCTGGAAAAATTTCAACTCCCTAACCTTAGTAGAAACAAAATGGCGGCATATTGAAAAACGATGCTTTAATAACATTAAAGAAGGTATTTTTGGTTTTATAAAATATTTTTATTGTTACTTTCCAGGGCAATATGACTCAAATAAAAAAAAAAAAAAAAAAAAAAAAAACTAGAACATAGCCTAATGGAAAACCTTAATGTCCAAAATTATTCAAACTGTAACCCATCCACAGCAACACACTGACAACAGCGCGTAACAAATTATTCGTAAGCTCTTACAAAGAATCCCTGCGGTATCCGGATAAGTTCCTCTTCTATTGATCGTTTTAGTTCCCCATCATTATTAAAGCTATGGGTATATACTTGTTCCTTCAAGAAACCCCATAAAAGATGTCGTAAACAGTTAAATCAGGTGATCGGGGTGACCAATCTAAAAAATCATTTCCACGACCAATCCAACGGCCATGAAGGTTGCCATTTAGTAATTGCTTGACAGGATTTGCGAAATGAGGTGGTGCACCATTTTGTTGAAAGATTGCTTGATTAATTTCTGGTATCGTCAAATGGGGCAAGACCTGTTCATTTAAAACTCATTTTACAATCAAACAGCTGTTCTTCAACAATGAGCGTTAGAACCGCAACGTAGTAAACAAATCAGATAATAAATCATGAAAGTAGTTTTTATAGGAAGCAAATTGGAAATTTTTTTAATATGCCGCCATTTTGTTTCTACTAAAGTTAGGGAGTTGAAAATTTTCCAGAATATTTTTAGAACCTACTTTGTAAACTGTGTAAAGTTTAAAAAAGTTCGGTGCATGAATGGGCACGTAATATAAAATCAAACGTTTAAACCCCTTCGTGGGACACCCTATATAAAAAATACCACTGTCTATTTTGGATTTCCTAAAGTTAAAAGTCTAGTCTAAACTTAACTGTATCCCAAAATATATTACACCAAGCAAAGACACTGACACAGTTTAAGCATCAGCTTGTTCGCTTTTATGTATATTGACACTGCTTATTAAGGCCTAATTAATAGCTTACGTCAGAAGCGATCTTAGGAGCTTCCTTCCAACTTTGTAGCTAATTATAGGTTTGATATGGCAGTAAGTTTACACGGTCTAAAATTGTCTAAGGCTACAAAAAACAGCCTTATTTTATGCATCAGGGTATCAATTTTTCTAAACTAATGGCGTCACACAAACTGATATATTGTCTAACAGAATGGCGCTTTACTCAACATAAAATATCAAGATAAATGTTTCAGCATAACATTACATGGGTCCAGCACACTGCCCGAGCTATCTTGACCGAATACTATCATTTATCATCGTGTACCTACCTAACTTACTATAATGTTTGAAAAGAAAACAATGTCGATTTATTTCAGTTAGGCTTTAGAAATAGTCTGGTAAAAGTTAACGACACACACGTCACCCTAAAAACCCACTTCCTAAAATAGGTCTAAAAATTAGTCTTTTCATTTCTTGAATCAATAAGAATATAAAACACTTTGGTATACTAAATCATTTGCTATTTTAAGCTCTTTAAAAAGGTCTAGAGAAAAATTTGGAAATTTTGTGTTTTGAGGGTCAAAAATGAAACCCTAATTTTTACCCCATAAAACCCCCCGTAAAACCCCGTTCCCATTGTCCGATCACGCTGGTTCGCGAACTCAAGCAGTTTATTCCGCCTTACACCTTTAAACCAAATTACATCAAACTCGGACAAAAAATACTCAAGTTATCGCGTTCACGGACGTATATAAAAATTTGAACGAATGGTGTTTTTGGCCTCTGGGGACTTCAAAATGAAAAAAGTAAATCGGCCGCGGGTCTAGGTCTTACCGTGCCACATACGGTAATAGCTACCTCCCTATAAGGAAATTTGCTAAAAGCCAAAATTGGTTGTAAATAAAAATTGAGTTTCCTATATCGCTTTTACAATCGAAATAAACTATACCGAGCCATGGCTCGGCCTTCCGGTACTATATATTTTAAATATGGCGTAACTAATTATCAAAGCAATATAGGTGACTAATTTCAATTGTTGCTAGACCAATCCCCAATTTTATTATTTAATTTATCTTGGTCCAAACAAACGTGCATAGCTAAGCAAGCTTTTCCTGGGGACATAATCATAGAAAGAATGGATTTTTAAGCTAGGCGCCCACCGGGCAACCCAGCGGGTGACGCGACGCGACGCGGCAAGGCGCGACGCGGAGAAAAGCTTCCGTCCGCTTCTCCAGGGTTCGCGCCTTTTACAATTCTTCTAGTTATAATAAAATTAGAATTGTTCTCAATTGTTTTAATTACTGAAACAAATCAAGCTTAGAAACAATTAAACATTGTACGGTTCAACCTTTGTGGAAATTAGACCGTTCGAACTAAATCACAGAAAAAATCCATTCTTTTTTGAATGTAGCAATTTCATCATTGTTTTATTCTAGAAAACTTACAAAAAAAAAAACATAAATCAACTGTCAAAATTATACAATTAAAATACAGCTGATGTTCAGATTTATAAAATATTAAGTATAAGTCCAGTCAAACATGAGCGTCGATCATAACTTCATCAGTCATTTTCACATACTCCCACCTTGAGGAACGTAAGGTAACTTGTTCCTCAACACAAGGTTTTTATTGGAGAAACCGTTTTGGTTGTTTAACCATCCGTCCACTTCTAGTCACAGTTTTCTTATCTATCACATTATTATCCTGCTTCGTTTTGTTCTTAATTTTTTCATTTTTCAGGAACTCTTCTTTCTCACAATTTTGTATTTCAAGAGGGTAAATTTTTTGGATAGTTCGCAAAATTATTCCTGAATTCATCTTGAGTTTTGCTAGACGAATTTTACCATCTCTACCCGGTATGAGTTCTTTTACAACTGCCAAAGGCCAATTTAGACGTCTTTTGTCGTCCGTCTCCACAATGACAACTTCTCCAACTTGTATGTCCCTTGTTGACCTTTTCGACTTCATCATTAGTGCTCCCAAATACTCGCTCCGAAATCTCTTTCTCAGATCTTCTTTTAACTTTTGGCAGTACCGGACCCTGCGGTTCAACTCTCCGTGATTAATTTTGTCCACATCAGGTGTTCCAGTTTCTTTAATGTCAGTCAAGAACATTGCTGGAGTCAAAGGTATCAAGTCATTCACTTCGTTAGAGATGTATGTGAGGGGACGTGCATTTAAAACTGATTCACAGTCACAAAGGATGGTCTGGAATTCTTCATAAGTCAAACTTGAGTTGCCCAAACATTTCCGAAGAAGTTGCTTCATCATTCTTATCAATCTCTCCCACCAGCCACCCCACCAAGGTGATGAAGGGGGATTGAATTTCCATTTAATTCGCTGGACCGAACTGTACTCCTGGATTTTATCCCAGTCAACTTGTGTAAAGGCATTGTTTGCGCCAACAAAGTTGGTCGCGTTGTCGCTGTATACAATTGAGGGTCTGCCTCTTCTAGCTATGAATCTTCTCAAAGCCTGTAGAAATGCTTTAGTTGACAAACCTGAAACTAGTTCTAAATGAAGTGCGCGATAAACAGCACAGGTAAAAAGACATATCCAAGCCTTCTGACCATTTCGCAAATATATTGGTCCTGCAAAATCGACACCACTAATTTGAAATACTGCAGCATCTTTTACTCTGTCTTCTGGAAGACCAATGGGCCCAGTTTGTAGACTTTTCCCTTTGTATCTTAGACACTTCACACAAGACGATATTACAGATTTTACTGTTTTTCGCCCACTTAATATCCAATAGTCTTCACGCAAAATGCTTAATAAATACTGAACTCCTGCGTGACAAGCCTTGATATGCTTAGAGCGTATTAACATTTGCACAACAGGATGTTTCGATGGTAGTACTATTGGTGTCCTGAAGTTTTCGTGGTCTTTTCTGTCAGTAAGCTTCGACTTTACACGAATCAAACCATTCTTATCTTCAAAAGGACATAATGTTGCAAGTTTAGCATCTTTCAGTCCACAAAAACTCTCTTTCTGGACTAGTTTCCAAACATTGGCTTCAGCTTTTTCTATTTCTTCCAGGGTTAAGGAACCATTTACTTTTTCACTTCTACGGCAATTATTATAAAATCTATTAATCCATGCTACCATACGCACGATCTTTTCAAAATTGCTGAAGTATTTATAATACCAGCCT